CACACGTACCTTCCAAGAACTATATTTCATTCCTGCGCATGTGTACGCATTTTGAGAGCACCGTATGGTGCCGCAACTATTCGCACGCCTCGAAACGGAAATTCAGCGCGGTTGTCGACGCAGTTGTTACGATCGTCGTGCGGTATCGATGAAAAAGTTCGCTGGCTTTTGGATTTGACGTAGAACGCGCGGCGGTTTTATTTTATTCTTTTTTTATTCGCGTGTGCGATCACGCAGATATTTCTATCTCGTCGCCGCGTGTTTCGCATCGTTCTTTTCCAAGTTTTGTTTCGCTTTAGAATCGATCCGCTGAGGCTTGTTTCCGTTTCCTTTCGTCTCTCCGTTTCTCTCTCTCTTTTTCTTTCCATCTTATTCTTCGTTTTCCTCCGTTAGCTTCCGCTCATAAACGGTGCGAACGTGCTTATCTTCCCTAGTTAGTGTTTAAGCGTGGATACTTTGTACTTAAGCGAGTATCGTAAGTGGCCTGTATCTCGTCGTTAATAAAGTAGCGCATTATCGCTCCTCTTCGTCCCTTTCTTGCTCGCGTTCCTCGCGATTACCTTCCGTACCGTTAAAGATTCGATGATCGATACACATTTTCGCCAAACGATGCGGTGGAATTTCACGAGTATCTTTATTCTTTTGCATCATCATCATTAATTAGGCGAATCAAACACGCGACGCGACGTTAACATTCGGTTGCCTGATGTCAGAAACCCGATACGCAGTTCTTTCAGATTTCGTTATCAAACAACGCGCATTGACAAAATGCATATTGCGTGTACGTAGCGTGAAAGCGCGGCTTTATCGGCATTAATCTTGTACAGCGGCGTATGCTAACAAACGAGAGGGAAGGGTGACAGCTCCCAAAATTCTTCCGTTGGTCATCGTCGACGCCACAATAGAGACGGCTCGGTCGGTTTCCATGCTCAACCGTTGGATGGCGGTTCCATGGTCCTACCGACTCCTCTCCGTCTCGAGAGGACGAGAGAGAGATTGCGTCATTTTCAAGATTGTCGCGCAAAAAATGCCGCTCGAAAAAATTTTATCTCGAATCGTCCCCTGACAATTCCCCCTTAAAAAAAAACGGCATACCATATCGTCGCCCAAGTTGCGGTTTCGCGTGAAATTTCTCTTCAAAGATACAAAAATGCACGAAGGGGGACCTCCCTGACGTATCTGACCGTCGTTTACGCGGTAACGATAATCGAGGAGATTATTACAGGAGGAAAACACGGCGCGTCAGCGTCGCAGAGCGAGAGCGGCGGGCGGGGTCCGTCCTTTCCTTACTGCGCACTTTCTTACCCCTCCGCGTTTAACCCTCGGCGACGTGGCGGAGGCGGAGGCGGCGGCGTCGTCGACGGCGGCGGCGGCAAGGACGACGGTTAGTTCGCTTCGCGGAAAAGGCGGCGGCGCACGCCTCCCTGTTATCGTCCGCGGCCTCTTTGCTCTCGCTCGATTAAGCGCTTATTAGCGGCGCGTCTGCCTTACATATATGCATACGCGCGTGTACGCCGACGGTGGAAGACGACGACGTGCGTGGACGTACTACGCACCGGCGTACTACATAATGTACTACGCATCGCATTCGCGCACGGTTAGCATCCAGCCGACACGAGGCTGCCGCCGCGGTCACTTGGACAGCGACGTCGGGGACAGCGACCCTCGTCCGCGAACCTCGAGCGCGACATCCGATAGCTCGCCGCTCGATGTAGGTATATTAGAGATAAGATTCCTCCGAGCTTTCTCTCTCTCTCTCTCTCTTTGCTTTTTCTCTTTCTCGTCGCGAATCCTGGGTATTATCCTCTTTGTATCGCGTCCCGATAATCACGCGGCATTTTACAAAAGTAAGTCTCTTACGCGGCTGGACATATGATTTCCGCGTGATTTAATCTCGCGATGGAACGAGGGAATGGGAGAGAGAGACGAACGGGCGCATTTTTGAGACGCGATATCGAATCGATGACAATAATTAAAACGGCGCTTTTTTTTTTATCGGTGCAATCAATGTAACGCGATATCGCGCTCGTCGGTGCGCGACGCAGAGTTATCGAATTGTAAAGTTTCGCGATTGATTTCACACTTGTCGGCCGAAAAATATATCGCTTCCACCGACGCGGTGGAACGTCGAATGCGAATCGCGATTGAGAAACGTCGCGACAGCAGCTTCGCGTATTCTCGAAATGACGCTTCCGGCTGTCTTTTACCCGCGCGGAGATTCCAGTTATCGGTAACGCGCACACACGCAGACACGCATACACCCCACTATAGACAGGTTTCCCTCTAGAAGAACGCTCCGTGCGTCAGAATAGATCATCGGAGCCTTGAGCGGCTGCGGTTAGAATAGAATATGCGCGTATTATTAACGGAAACTCGGAAATCCATCGCATTGTCCGGTCCCTCGATGATAAATTTTAACTCGAGGATGCGTAGATAAAATGTGCGAAGATTACGCGTCGACGCGGCCGGGAAATATCACCGTCTCTCTCTCTCCCTCTCGTCTCGAGAAAGCGCGACAATATTTTTCATTACTCGGGATGGCGCGGAATTATAAATACCTCCGATTCCCCCTCCTCCCCGCCCCCCCCTCCCCCAATTTATCTCTCAATTTCACGCGCCGATACTTGCTCTCGGGGAGCTTGCCAGATACCGAATCTGGCGCGAAGAACGACTTTGTTCCGTCAGTAATGGGCCCCTCTTAACCGGTCGGTCGTCGGGCGACATTTCGCACGCCAGGCAGTTCCAGATATGTGCTCGTAAAGCATTACGTCGCATTCCGATCCACGTTAGATCCGCTTTCTAACGGCTTTCCGCGGTTCGATGCGACGTCGCGATGTAGCGGAATATTATATTTCCGCGGCCGTGTGTGTACCTTTCCGTCATATACGCCTTCGCCGAATCGATCGACGTCGATGACGTCATCTCGATCGCGATCTCTTTACGCGAACGACGAATAATTTACTCGGCACGTGTGCAACAACAACGTCTCGATTATATCTCGGATATACGCGTGTATATATATATTTTTTTTTTTATATTCGATCTCTATCCTCCCTCTAAAATTTCACGCGATTGGACGTCGGCCAAAAAGTTATCTGACCCGACGTGGAATGACTCGCGCACGCCTACGTCGTACAACGTAATTCTCATCACGCGACCCATTCCGCGTTTTTTTCGAGCCTCGAGAGCGATGGCGAAAATTTTGGCGTTCCCTCGCTTTTACGCGCGGCAAAATGGCACGTCGCCACGGCATCGAGCGCGGCGAAGGCCGAGAGCTATAAACGAGGACTATAAAAGACGGAAAGGATCGGCGATCGATCGGCCGATTCCACGATTATCATTGCGAGAGGTGTTTTATTAACGACGCGGCCTCTCGACGCCCACTTACGGCCTACGTCGCGTATCGGGACACACGTGCGAAATTGTCGAGCATCGAGTAGCGCGTGGACGCTATTAGAGTCATCGTCGAGTTTTATACCTTATACGCGTGCTCTAGGCATGTGGCAATGTTTTGGCTCGCGTCGATCGATGCACCCCTTATTCTGCGGCGTAGTATCGCGCTTCCTTTCGCCCTTCCACTCTACTTTTACTCTCTCCTCCCACCACGTGCGCATAATCCACCTACGCCCCGGTTCACTCAACCAACCCCTCGGGCCTCGGATACCAGCAGCGATTCTCAATCGTCGTGTTCGAAAGCTGTTTAAGGGTGTTGTTGTTTTTTGTACAAATCGAAATAGGCGTCTCCGGTACTCGAGATGATGAAACCCGTTCGTTAAATAAACGGTAAATAAACGTGATGTTTTTTAAGCGGTCAAAAATTATTCGTCGCGTCGTATCACCTCGGATTACGACGCTATTTTTATTGCGGGAACGTTCGCTGATGCAATTCAATGATACGTATAATTGTGTTTTTCCACGATACTTATATCGGCGAATAACAAATAAATATGCGAAAATATTTTCATTACACGCTGAAGAGAATTTCGATAATTGTTTGCTTCTTGATATTTTCATTAATCGGACAATTAATTGTCGGAAAAATCATGTTTGTGACTCTCATGGATGATTTTGCAGTTATTTTGCATAATTATTGATAATCAATTGTTAGTCAAATACGAAAAACATATATTTCACGCTAATTACACATTTAAATGTAATTTATGCAACGATGTAGATATTTTTATGCAACGATGTAGACATTTTATGTACTTTGTGCGCGCGTGTCATGCTTATCGCATCGTAATCTAATAATTATGTCGATTTAAATTGCCGTTATAAATGCTGGAATTAATCACGTTTGTTTAAACGGATTAATTATTTATGCGAAAGAATTTACAATCTTCGCACAAAGGATAGATTCTCCGCGAAAAATATCTTCAATGGGATTTTCGAAAAATATGTGAAAGGAACGTACATGGAACTTTGCAGAAATACATTACGCTCTCTCTTTTGTCGCATAAAGTCGGCGTAATGTTGTTTGGACATTGATAAAGGTAGTGTTTGTCGCTTCTCGAGAATGATGTTATATCTCATTGCGTCGGCCTTTATCGGCCCCGGAGCACTTAAACAGATTAGTACTCATTACACGACGTATGTTTTTCAAAATATATTTTTATCTACGGCAAATCCCTCGGTCCCTCGCGTTTGGAAAACATCGTAATATATAATCGTAATTAATCTCGAGGAAAATATCTACGAGATGCCACGTTGCACTCATGGTGATAGTAGTACGTCGCGACCTTTAGACTAAAGGAAGTAGCATCACGTTTCGAGTATCGCGTGATAACACTATTACCAAATGGATACACACATACATGCTGCTCTCTAAATATCTTAATAACCGAAAGTTCAACTATCTCTCTCTCTTTCTTTCTCTCTCGTTGTAGAATCACAATTTCAAAAACGATAAAACAATAAAACGTTAACTCATTTCGACTCAATTTATCAAAGTCGATAATTATGACGATATATTGACATTGCGATTATTTATAGCTTTAGAATTCGCCGAGTAACGGACGAGAAATAATATAATCGCGAGACGAGAAAAAGCGAATGCGAGATAATAATATTAATTCCGTATCCATCTCTGCGACGTCGTTTGATTCGCCGTCAGGAATACTGTACGCAATTATTCGTGCCATTTGATGACACAGCGTTGTGGTATGACGAGAGCGTCCCAGGGACACGCGCTTCGATTACGTTAGATGACGATATCCCGAGCAACGAATAGGCCGGCGATTAATAAACGCCAATTGAACGTCAAAAAGAGACTGGGAAAGCGAGACAACGAGCTCCTTCTCTTCGCTCAATCGTACGAAAAACACAATAACACAAATATAAATTAACGTAATTGTCGCGTGTCTGAGAAATCAGGGGAGTCGAAAGGAGAGAGACGGGAGGAGAGAGAGAAAGGGGTCGCGTGGGAGCGTAATATCTGGAGCACAATGACTGCAACGGTAACAATGGCAGTAAGCTGTAACAATGGCGACATCGAGCAGGAATGCGCGAATAAACAGCGGAGACGGGACCGAAGTAGTCGCGGCCGACTACGACGTCGTAGGTTGGAAGCGAGCGTAACGTCGCCGTCCTCGTCTTGGATTGGCCGGAGATAGCGGGAACGACGAGGACGAGGAGAGAAATTGGTCGAGAGAAAGAGAGAGAGAGAGAGAGAAGGAGAGGCAGAGAGAGGGGAACGGGTACGTATCGACCATCTCCTTCCATTCAGTTTGCCGCTTCGGTAGAAGGGTGACGGAGAGGAGACCCGGGTGACGAGAGACAAAGACGATGAAAACGCGAACGCCGCTCCAGACGAGGAAGGGAGATAATCAAACTCGGCGCGTTGCGAAACGCGCCTTTGAGCCGGCACGAAACGGAGCCCCTGGCGCCCTTGACTACGTCGTTATTTTTTTTCTGTCTTTTCGCTATTTTGCGATGCGATCAATTTATCAGATATCGCATTTATCTGCGCGCTTTAGATGATATCTCGTTCGCTTTACATCTACTACGTAATATGTATCGCGCGATACATAATAAAGTACGCGCGCGCGGGACGTACTTTATTGCAACTACGTCTCTAATTAATTGTGTATACACTCACAAAATATATATATATATACACACACACACATATTACACACACCTCTCGTCGGTGCAGCAATCGATCGCGTGTCGAGTTGTAGCTACCGTTGCGCGATTATTACACGATATTACGACATACGGTGAAAATCTTTGTACAATTTATACGTACAATCGTCACGAGTGCGCATCGTTACGTAATTGCGAGCGTTTCGTCGTAGCGAGGAACCGCAAAGATTTGCCAAAGCCACAGAAATTGTGCGGTCTCGACAACTTGGTTCGCTGACGAGAGCTCGATCGGGATAATAACCGGATGTCTACGCTCTCTCGGGGAAGATCTGAAAAATCTGAATCTTGTCCTCCCTTGAATGATCCGTGAATTCTTATAGAATTCTATTGAAATTCCGGGAATATTCTTGAAAAATGAAGAAAAATGAAAATGCAAATGAGAACTTATTTTATGACACGCGATTCTTTTCAGTACTTTCTCGATAGTTATTTCAAGTGGTCATTTTTCCTCCGTGATTGTACAATAAGGAAAAAAGCGCGCGCAATAAATGGTTTCGCTACAAAGTTGCGTGATCACGTTTACAACTTTTTTAATTTTACCCACAGTATTTTAAGTGAAAATACGTGGGGGGAAAGAGATCAGGTTATTCTTAGAAAATCGTTTTACAAAATAACTCGCGAATAAATTCGCGAAATAAATTGACGCAATTTTTATATTCGAGCAACGAGAGCCGCGGCCGATGTTACCGATGTCTTCTTTCGCCGACCCGTTCGATCGGCGGCAACCGAACATTGTAGATTACGAAGCGACGCTTGGCAAGCGACGGAGAGAACTCGAGCGCCCGGCCGGGTGTCGGCGAACCTGCAAACGCGATAGCACAAATATCTCGTAGTAGAACGACGGTGACTCGAAACGGCGGGGCTGGCGCGGCGCGTGGCGCTGTGAATGAAGCTCGTTCCGCTCGCCTGCTTTCATCCCGCCCGGTGTCTTGGACGGTACCCCTCCCTCCCCCTTCTTGCCCTCTCACCCTGCCATTCGCGACTCCTCGTCTGTCGCCTCTTCATTCCCCTACCATCGCGCTTTCGGGGTCTTCCTTGTTCTCGAGCGTTCGCATAAAGTCAAATCTGCGTTAAATGAACGGACGCGAATTAATCGTGAGCGAGTATCAACGTTGATTGGATTTCTTTTTATTTTATTTTTTTCCCAGTAATCTATTATTTTGCGTGTACGAAATTATTTTGTACAAAATTATCGTAATTGAATGAAACTTATTCACTGATGCTCTGCCGAGTGTATTCGTGTTCGTTTATCTGGTCTGAACCTGGATTTTATACGTAATCGCGTCGATAATTGATGCCGATACACGTACACAAATGCAAGATGCGTGTCAGCTGTAAATGTGTCCGTGATCCTACGTTTTGACAGGGCGAAGCCGATCATTGCGTGGAGCGATTTCGCGCGCTGTCCGCTTCTGAAACATGATTATTTCCAGCGGCTGCCGGATCGATTCAGCTACGGATTATCTCGTTTATCGTTCAGTAAATGAATAATCTATTTGAGGATAAGAACCATTATCCTTGATGCGATTCCGACAATTAACTGTATAATAAAGAAGAAGGATCAAATTGTAGATTTATTATGATTGAATTACATCTGACATTTCGCGAACCGCTGAAGGACATTAAAAGATTGAAAAAGGGTTTAAAAATTACAAGGTTCAAAAATAGATATACGAGTATTTCGAGTCGCAATTATATCATTATGCAGAAATATTATGCGTAACACGCTTTTTAGACTAAATTTATTGCATAATAAAGTTGCCGCTGGTATTTGAAACTGTAACTTGACATTTTCAAGTCTGAAATTATTAGTGTCACGTACCATATTACACGCATTCTCGAAACCTCGTATATGTTTGCCTTCGTTTACTACAAAATAAAACTATGAATAAAGTGGCGTAGGTGGTGGACCTACGCGCGTTGCGTGACCGACTATTTTCCGCGTGATTGTACACATCTAAATAATGCACATCTATACAGCGCTTTCAGCTATATCGCACACAATCATTTTGCTATCTTGCAAATTGTAATGTAATTATTTTCATAACACGTTATTGCCCATATCGCTGCAATTTTATCAAGATTCTGTAATACCTCTACAGATTGTAAGATTGATAAGATTGCAATGCTGTTGATTATTAGGTGGTGTAGGTGAAAGGTTTTAAGAGATAGTGGTAGATCGTCTGGTTGACATATGCACATATTTATATAAGTAAAATTGTAAGCAAAATCTGAGTGCAGAGAGAGAGAGAGAGAGAGAGAGAGGAGGAGAAGGAGAGAGAGCTGTCCATCGACTCGGAAAAAAACATTGAAAGTATCTAATTATACATACAGCGATTGGATTGGACATTGAAACGTGGACGAAACGTATCAAGTTGTGGATTTCAATTGAATATTTGATAACTATTACAACTATCACATAGTTGTGTACGATAATAGTTGGTAAATATTTACTGGGTTTGACTATAAGTGAATTTTATTTGTTATTGAACCAATTAAATAACAATTGTAAACATTTAATATCAATCATCAAATATCTGAAACCTAATTAAATGTTTGATAAATATTAAATAACAATCATTTAATTCAATGTTATCAAATATATAAAGCCTCTAATCAAGCATGTTTTGATAAACATCAAGACTTATTCGATTCAATGTTATAAAATTAAATTAGATCGTTTCTAATCTAATTACACTAGATCGTTTATGTTTAGCCAAACGAAATATTTCGTAACTATTATCAAATGTTTTTTCAAATAATTTATTTCAGTTTCATATAATAAAATTTGAAGAAAATGAATTCAAATATTATATGAATATAACAAGTTGATATATTTTATGAATAATTTTTAGGAAAACATAGTTCTATAAAATCTAGAATAAACTGTTTTTTTAAATATAAGATTAAAGCAATAATTAGCACAAATATATTTGTAATACTTATCAAACCTCTCATTTGTAGTTGAATCAATTAAATAAAGATTCTTTAAAATAAATTCTTTGCTCAACCAATTAAATTTTTCGATACTTGTTATTGTAAGATTTAATTGATACTATTTATTCAAATCATTTAATAGGTACTAAATCCTGATAATTACTATCAAATTCTTTTTACACAATATATAAAGTAATATATAAAGTAATATTTTTGCAATATTGCTATACAACTTTTCTCCGTTATACGGGATATTTTTGACTCTTATTCGCGAGCAAGACGCAAAGTATGAAACGCAGAGAATGGTCTGACCCCGAAAATGAATTCAACGAATCATTGAAAGATGTGTGGCCGTCAAGCGGTTCGTCAGATCACGAACGTAGGGGTACAATCTCTCGCATGCCACGGCGTACACGTCTCGTTACAACGTGACAGCGTGACCCCCTTTATAACGCAATAAATCAATTATCGTTCGTTATTAAGAGAAATCTACGCTTAATCAAATCACGTTACTTAACCCGAGAGTCACGGCAAACTAGGCAGTATTTATTTACAATCAGGCACGACATTCCAAATTCTTTTTCTTTCACAGCCACTTAAACAATCGTGGGATTGCGCAGACAACCTTACTCCCGCATCGAATCACAATTCTTCGCGTATTTTCCAGTATTTTACATTTATTAAGAGACCGAGAAATCTCGTACTTTGTTACTTAACAAAGCTTATTAATTGCTTTTTTTTCTTGATCAATGCTGCACTTTTGTTTCAAGTATAGGCGTTTCTAAAATTTCAATCTCAATTTTTTTTCTTTATATAGAACCATATATTTTTTTACATAATTTATTTATGTAAATCGATAATATTCATCATTTTAAGGACAAAAATATTAAAAATAGATATTTTATTTCATAACACATCAATGTAAAATATGAAATATGAATTATTAATTTTTCATGATTGTATCTTACCATTATACGTGGGATGATGAGAATAATCAACTTATATAAGGAAAAATGTTCTGTTTAAGAAAACAAAGATAACCTCAAAAATATCTTCATACATGGAACGAAATTATCACAAGATATTTTTCTCCAAATCCAATAACTTTAATCATTTTTCAATAAAATATATTTTTGGGATTTACCAAGAGCGATAATTTTTTGCTGATTTAGCCTGTAAAAAAAAGAAAAGGAAAGTAGTAAGATACAAAGAATGGTAAAATACATAAAACATTTATAAATTGTAAATGTTACTTTTAAAAGCTTATTTGAAAATACGAGAGATGAGCTGCGAATGAAAAGTATTTCAATATCATTTTATTTACGCTTTTTTTATGTAGTTCACTGTACAATTACAATTCTTTTCCAAGAGGTAACATCGCTACGCAACAGGATATCGCATGTTTTTTGCTATCTCTATCTCCCCCTTTCTCCTTCCTTCTCGTCAGATGTAGATTGTTCCTGGCAGGTATACCTAATCCATGTATACTTGCTTTTCGCATAATGAAAAACAGCGTTTTAGCTTGCTGTGATCGTTCGCGAGCGATGCGAATATTGCCTCTGGACACATACAACTGGCTCTTAACGGATTTACCTTTGTGAAAGGTTTGCAGTAATGGGGATAGAATACCGTTTTCTAACGAGCGTAAAACACATTCTAGCATCTCTTGCGGCAGACAATTTTATATATAACTTTGTTCGAGACGGCTTTTTCTGTAGCGAGTTATGTATTCCGAACACTTCAGGCTTATTCGATAATTTATAAATCGCACGCACTTTATCGCGCGCTTCGCTACATTGTTATAAATATTTTTCAAAGATATTGTCGCGGAGGGTCATGACCCCGGTGCATTCCGGATAAGAGTTACAAGAATGTATAGAGCGTCACGGTTCATAAAAAATGCGCATGAAAATGTGAGTGCATGGTACTCGCGAAAAAGTCACTCGCATAACTAGTACATAAGATGCATGCCAAATCATGCACTTTGCATAGTTTTGTGTAAAAATGGTACAAACCAACACTGAGCATAATTGATGGAGAGATGAGAGGAGAAACTATGTACGTTACATATTTCTGTTATATAATCCGGTATAATTTGTCAAGTATAATAGAGTTAAAAATAATAACGAGAGAGAGAGAGAGAGAGAGAGAGAGAGAGAGAAATCTACGAGTAAGTGTATTAATTTCTGATTAATTTCTGTTCCCTCAGGATAAATATCGATATTCGACAAATATTTTCTTCACGATATCCTCCAGCGAATCCGATGAAACTGACGTACAACTCATTCAACATATTTATTCAGTTATCAGTTAAATTCAATTTGCGGAAATATTATACAGCTGCTTTTGCTCTCTGTATATTTTTATCGCAATTTTATGTATAAATCAGACGTAAATGCACAATTTTTTAAAATGAATTTATATGGCTTCGTGTTTAAATTTTAAAATCGATACTCTGAATATTTTAATCGTTCGAATAAATAAAGCTTTTGATTTATATTTTTATTCATATATAATATCTGCGCAAAATTAAAAAAATATATTCTGATTATTTATGAGGTGAAGTGTATTATCGCGTGCAAATATGTTATCGCATACGTTAACGAATTATACAAGTTGATAAGATATAGAACCATCCTCAAATGTGACGTCGCACGCAATAACTTGGTTCATTTTTCGGTACATTTGCATTTCTCGTAGCGTCTCGTAGCATGATATAATTACGTCAAACTATCTTGGCGTGTATGTATATTTTATATAATATATTCTTGCATGGATGTGTGTGTGCGCGCGCGCCATTCACGGAATGTGTATACATGGCACGATAATTTATCTTTGAAAGTATTCTTTGCATAATGAATGTGCGCTTGGTGCCGGTGAACGCATTGTAAATAACCGCTTATTGATGGCCACGTAAGCGTCATTCGTGAAAGTACCATCATAATTTCCACGATAGTCAAGGTTTATCGTGTATATTTTATAGCGCGTTATCTCGTATAACGAGTATGAAAATTAATGCTTCTATGATGATACAAGGTACCTCACCTTCCCTTTAATTAATACATTCAGTTGAACGTTAGCGCGATAAATTTTTCATTGAAAAACAATGTCGGACGACTCGTTTAGAGCTCGATCGAACTTGTAGATAATTGACGAAATACAAAATGCGTAACATCGCTCTTCTTTTTCGTTTTAGGACGACAGACTGCCTAGATATCGCCGAGGAAGCAAGCTTATCGATCGTATTATCGGGAGCCTGCACTGATCGCGGTGCCACAGGATCGGTTTACGAATCTCGAGTCGGCGCATAACTTTCGATGGAATCGTTCAGTGCGGTGACCTGCCGGCGGTGCCGATCTCTCAGGACGGCCGGCTGATAACTCGCGCGCGCGCGCGCGCGCGTGCGACTGCGACTGCGACTGTGCGTCTCTCTCTCTGTCACTCTCTTCGCAACACGCCCACAAGGTCTCCCGCGCGCGGTTACGAGAGGGGTCAACGAAGCCCGACGCCGACAAACACGCCTCGGACAACGACGAGAAAAGATGCGGGACGTCTTTGAGCGGCCGTTGTCGAATCTGTCGCCGCATTAACGCTCGAACCCTCCGTTCGTGCATACCTACCGTTCGAATATAGACAGAACAAGCAGCAAAGACGCTTGCCGGCGCGAATATCCCGTCATCGTCGACGATCGAGAGAGATGCGAGCGGAACGTCGCGACGCTTTTCTCTCCGCGTTCTGAGAATTCGCGAGAAGGGAGTTTCGCGCGTACTTGACTCTTTTCTTCTCCGACCGAGAGAGAGATTTCGAAAATGAAGTCTCCGGCTTTCGCGTGCCGCAAAAATCGCAGCGCGACATTCGACGTGGACGACGAACCTTACGCTTCGGCCGCGTCCTCGTCTTCTTCGGAGACACTTCTCGTCACTCGCCGCTACTGCCATTGCCCCTCGATTTGCGGCGCGTTCGAGGATACGTCGAACGATGCCTCGTCCCAGTCGCCGTCAGAGTCGACGTCGATGTCGACGACGACGTGCGATCTCTGCGAGCGTCTTCGCGGACAAACGGACGGGTGTTCCGATACGATGGACGCGATACGGACAGAAGAGCACTTTGGCCAGCGCGATCGGCGAAAACGCGACGAGAGTGCGAACTCGAGAGCGAAAATTGTCGAGAAGCGCGACAGAACACTGAGGTGCGATAGACTCTCGCGTTACGAATCATCGTCCGCGAGATGTGCTTCGAGCGTCGTGAGATGGAACCATCTCGCCGCCGGATTCCACAAGTCGACCGAGTGGCGGAGGCTCCTCTGGATCGTTTTCCTGGTTTTCCTCGCGTCATCTCCCGATCTCGCAGCGGCGCAACAAAACAGCACCGACGGAGGTGAGTACATTTTTTTTCTGCCAGAGTCGAAAGATTACGCTATTATGCTAATTCCTTTCACGAAACTGAATAAACTTGACTTTACATCATTGTCGAACACACGCGGAAAGGGAGAACTTTACGTTTATAAAATATAACACGCATATATCGATATGTGTAAGTCGATTCGACGGAAGTGCGCATTTGAAATGCGAATCAATAGCGAATCGCTATTGGTCGAACTTTCGTATTATATTCGCGTAAGGCTTCGCAAGTCTTGAAAAGAGCAAAGTGTATTGTTGCGATGATATATAATGTTCAAAGAAACAGGTCAGGTGAAACTCTTGTTAGATATTTATGATTGTAATGCGCATATTTTGAAAAAGGATCCGAACAATCGTGGTATATTTTTCGATTCTGATGACCGGGATTGGAGGAAACATTTTCTTTACAATTTTCTATTGAAAAGTAAATATAAAGAAGAAATCTAATATAAGAAATCTGTCTTACTTTCATCCCACACAATTGAATTTACATACTTTTCACGCATGGTCTACTAAATTTTGAAAGAAGAGATCGAGAGATTACATTTACCGATAAATTAAAGCAATAATAATATTGATTTTTTCCGTGTTACATTTGTAACAAAGTTAACAATTTAAGTACACGTAGCGGAGAATTGATTTTATCTGCCGATAAAAACCTGAATAAAAATGCACATTAGTGATGCAATAATCTTTCTATTCAAACGATATTACGATATTACGAGCTAATTGATTGCTGATTGAAGGAAGAAAAGGGTACGAGGGAAATCTCTAAATTTGTTCGACCGAGTTTAAATGTGAACAACTGACCTTTCGAGGAAAGTGATAAATACTTTTAAATTGTCATAACGAAAATTATAATAGAGAGGAGAGCACAGATATGTGTATGTTTTATTGCATTTATTGACATTTTTCGCGATCGAAATATCGTAAATTTGCCATACAAATCATATCGCGTGCGCCGTTATTCTATTTAAAAATGTTTAATAGTTACCGGTTATTCAATGCAAGAAACTATTCCTCGCAAGTCATTAAAATTCCGCTATTTAATCCGACTGATCTTTTTGCAATGCGCAACACCGTTTCCTCCCCAAGAACATGTAAAATAATAATTGAAATATAAAAGCATTATATAAACACGCTAGTAATGTTTCTTGTAGGAACACACATTTATGACACTTGTTAAAAAATATAAATGGACGCGAGCGAGAGAGGAAGGAATCGCGCGCATGTTTTAAGCTTTTTTAAGCGCGTATCTAAGAGGTTATCGCGCCGGGTTTTGTATTTGTATTCCCTTCTCTTTGAACCTTCCACCGTTGATTCCTGGAAGTCTGAGTCTTCTACAGTGCAGACCTGCTTCGCGATGCATAAAAGCGGCGGCGAGTCTCGGCCAAGGTGCACGGCCTCGTGTAATGGTAGGTTTTAGCACGTGTGAATTCGAGAAAGAAGTCGTAATTACAGATCTTTCAATCGCTGCCTTTCGTCAGCTTCCAGAGTGATGTATAGATTTGATTGTTTTCTCATGGTCAATTGTTTTTCACACAGGTGGAAAAAATTCTCCAATAATGTTTATAGGATGTATACAGGGTGTTTCATAAGTGGTGGGCAAAATTTCAGGAATGGATTCCTCATGCTTAGAGAAGAAAAAAAGAGTTAATCAACATAGGTCCGGAAATGATTAGTTTTTGAGTTATTAAGATTTTTGTAATACAAAATTTTGTCTCATTTCTCGTCCTTTTACAAGTTCGGCGGCCTGAAAAACATTGTTAATGCCTGTAAAAAGACTTCGAAGACGAGAAATGAGACAAAATTTTGTATTACAAAAATCTTAATAACTCGAAAAAGGAATCCATTCTTTGCCAATTTTGCCCACCACTTATGAAACACCCTGTATATGGCTCAGGGTCAATTTTAATCTGCAATTTTGAATTTGGGGACATAAAGAAAATTTTTTAAATAAGATATATCACACTCATATTTGAATGAATCAATCCTGCGATGATGACAAAGACTCTTTGCGTCTTCCTCTTATCGAGAGCGATATAAGCGTCTGTGAAAAATATATCTGGTCTAGATGTGCCATTAAATGATTTTATATATATATAATGCATAACATATATAGAGAGAGAATTCGAAGAAAGACGGGTTTTACAGACGAGAGCGTCTGTGCGTTATCGCGAACATGAACGCAGAGTACTTATTCATGTTCACCAAGAATCATATAGCAAAAGCCGGGTAAGCGATTCAAACGCTCTGGAATGTTACTTGTGGGGCGAGTTCAAGAACGTCCTCGTAAGACTAGTAGCGGTTCATAGTCTACGCGCTTCCTTAATCTCAATCATAATAATGTCTATCACGATGACTGCCCTCAATAAATACAATAGAATGATGATCAGAATTGATCAATGCCGGATTTGTCAATAGCTTCGATAAGATTTGATTGTCGATTATATAAATTATTTGATTATCTAAGAATTTTACTCCGTTGTCATTTTTCTTTCGTAATATTTCTTGCGTAATGTAATTGCTGTTTCTGTTTATAATAAATAAATCACCGGTTTCTCGTCAATTGATTCTTTCAAGATTTCTATCGTTTGATAAATTCATCAATAACGTAGATTTGCGCAAAATTAATAAGAAAAAAAAAACGAAAAATTATACTTATTTATTACAACGAAATTAATAAAATTACTATCTATTTGTATAGTCTAAAATTATTCCAAGACCAATTGATCATCATTAGATATATTCCGTACGTGATATGATGACGTAAATGCGTAGACGACAAATTATTCTATGTATCCTAGTAGTAATAGATACGAGGGTATCTTAAATTATCTCACCAATACAATCGTTTGTAAAAATGATGTCACGCACTTATTGAGCTTGTTGTATGTCGGGGAATGTTTCTTAAATTGCGCCAATTTTGCGAAGCAATTTCTAATTTCGTTTCCATCAAGTGTGCGATGTTCCGAGGGCGATCAGCCGTGTATATAAGCGTTTCTAAATAAAAATTCCCGCTCGGCCACCGTGAGGGGAATATTTTCGCCCCGCGTTGTTTTTCTCCGGTTGAATTCCCGAGAATTGAATTGATTCTCTCGACCGCCATTACATGCATGTCGACAAGCTGGGTTACGGTACCGAGATATCTTCATGCCACATTCACCGTCGAGAATGAAGATGAGTCAGTCGTGTAGCAAAATTATTATTATAGACGCATCAGGATATTTCTCGTAGATACGAGGCGGCAAAACTCTAGTAGCCTCGCGTATCCAAATATAGAGAGGGCCGCATATTCATCGGGCATCCTTTTTCGTCTCTCCCTCTCTCTCTCGAAAGATTCACTTCTGGCCAAAAGGCGATCTAATTCGAGGTAAGCGCTCCCTCGATTTTAGTAGGCGCTATGAAGTATCCGCGCGAGAGAGGAAATCCAAGGGAAAAGGAGAACCGACCGAGAATAGGATACGCGATGGGGGATCGGGGGGGCCAGATCGGACGCATACTCCGCCACAAAAAGATTGGCCGCTCCCGTTGCGAAAACAACGGAGCCGATAACATTCCTTCGATGCGTTCGCCTCTCACGTTTCATCTCCTTTCTTCTCTCCGCTTTCGTTCCCTCGCGTTTCGCCGAATCGAGTCGAAAACATGGTGCAACGTCCCGGCTGCTCGATATCATGGCCATTATCCCCCGAGTGTCCTCCGAGTTGATAGCAAGTCGAATAGTAAATTATCACGTTCACCTTTTATATAGCTTTTAGCGGAATAAAATAAGCGCATAATATATACGTAATTCTCTCTTTTATGTTTTCGATTCCTGGCTTCTTTTCTTTCGATTTACATTTCGATCAGCAGGGCGATCGGGAGAATAAAGAGACGGTGGAAAAGGGAGAAAGGGGGAATGGTAATGAGAACACAAAAAAAAAAACACACAAAAAAACGAGAATCCCATGTGCATCGAATCGTGTTCAACCCCGCTGTTTCTATCCCGGAATTGGTTACTGCCTGTGTTTGACGTTCAATAATCATTGTTTACGATTCGTACATAATTGAGAACGGAACGAGGATTATTTAATCGAGTTTGAATCTACAAAACACTACTCGTTTCATTGAAGTTCTTTTCGAGATTTTCTCACAGCGATAACTCGCGATCGTTTCTTGAATAAGAATTTATATATCTATGTATGCATATAAATGTATGCATACATGTATAAATAAGCAATCCTTATTCCTCTGGGAATCGATGCAAATATGCATACCGACCTTAGACTAGACTAGACTAATCTAGTCTCGTCTAAGACTTAATGGAAAGTGCGTTATTGGTGACGGGAGGAGAAAGCGAGAGAGAGAGAGAGAGAGAAAGGAAGAGAGGAAGGACGATCCAGGGGAAAGTCTGTCGAAGGGTTAGGAAGGTTGATATAATTAAGGCGTGTCAGCTCGAATATTAAGTGACGCGCCTCTTTACGGTAAGCGGAGACGGAAGTCGTCTCGTGATATTATTTAATGATTTCCGTTCGGAGAAGACTAATCGACTAAAGGGCTCGAGAGAGCGAATGTATCGCGATATAAATTTATTTATAACGAGTAAATAATAATCGCATTTACAACAAAAGTCTGCGACTACAAGATGACGTTTGATCAATCGCAAGTGCATTGACACGAGAGGAACCTCGTGCGTGAATCAAGTTATAAATACATCTTTTTGATCGTCTCGACAGTTTATATACAATCTTGCGGTTAGAGGGAGACGTTGAATTTCCCAACTTGCGGAGCAGACGGCGAGATCTGACGAAATTAGATGTCCTGTCCCGGTGTGTTACCAGCCCGTTGTAAGAAATTTTATTCGCGATCCGGGGACGCCCCGGGGCTGAAGAAAGAGAGGGTCGTCTAGACGGCGATTTCCGGCGATTTTCATCGATCGAGAGAGCCAGAAGTTAGTCTCTCACCTGGCCCTACCGAGGATACTCTCGCGTTAGGTGG